ACTTAAAAATGTATCTGCTAAGGATGGATGCTTCAGGTTTTGTGTTCAACTCTCGTATCTTAGGTTCCCTGTTTGGAAGCTCTTTGGTAGCTGTGATGAGTTAGCTCTGTTGGGTTTCCAGAGATGCATGACGCTTCTTGGGTAGAGCAGGGGAAGGCCTTGCTTGGGTGTCTGCGTGGTCTGGTTCTCCATGTTTGTTGGTCTTACAGTTTTTCATCAATAAATAGGAGAGAGATGCAATTTGTTCAGTTTGGATTGTCCAATGTATACATTAAAGACAATCTTCAGTCTATAGAGCTCTGCAGAGAGGGACCTCGGAGTCCTGGTGGACAACAAGATGCTCATGAGCCAGCAAAGTGCCCTGGTGGCCAAGAAGGCCAATGGCATCCTGGGGCGCATTAAAAAGAGCGTGTCCAGCAGGTCGAGGGATGTCACCCCCCGCCTCTGCTCTGCCCTGGTGAGGCCGCATCTGGAGCACTGTGTCCAGTTCTGGGCTCCCCAGTTCAAGAAAGACAAGGAACTACTGGAGAGAGTCTAGCAGAGGCTATGGAGATGCTCAGGGGACTGGAGCATCTCTCTGCTGAGGACAGGCTGAGAGCCCTGGGGCCGTTCCACACTGAGCTGCTCTGTCTTATGTAGCAGTCACTTGGTTCTGATCCGAGTCTTCCAGGGGCAATACGGTGCTGCTTTTACATGATCTAATGGGCATTTATCTGACAAAATGCTGGGTGTGATTCATCAAGACAGCACTGTGTGCAGCAAGCTATTGGGTAAGTCTTTATAAGTTAAGCTGTAATAATTTGGCTGTGAAGGAGATTACATGTGTCTGTATTGATTTTATTTCAGATTTCTTGCAACCTACAATAGCCTTACAGACAAACACCTGGTTGGATATTTCAGCAATACCAGGATAAGACGACATCTTCAGAGATCAGGACTGGTGAGATTGAAAAGTTTCTTTTTCTGAGAAAAAATGGATTCTTTGTTCTTTTAACATTGCACAAGTGAAACCACTGATGGTTTTGTTGTTTGTTTGTGAGAGTTGTGTGGTGTTGTTGGTAAGAATTCAACCAGCTAGCCAAATGCGTGAAATTATGCTGTGCCAGATCAAAGCCGCGCGATCACGCTGAGGCTGAGGGCAGGTTTGTTTAATTCAAGCGTTTCCCACTGTGTTATTATCTACTGTTGGTCAGTGAGATATTGCAGGGACGCAGGGCTGTGGCACATAAAGCTGCGCTACTGGGGTCAGAATGACAGGTAAAACTGAGCTTGGAGCTTGGCTCTGTGTGCCGCGTGGGTTTGAAGACACTGGCGACAGCTGAGGAAACACTGTGGCTGGCACTGAGCACGTTTCAGGACGTCACGGTCCAAGGGCCACCTGGGCAATGAAGATGCTAGCGTGAGGGCTGCTCGTGGATGATGATTCTGCACAAGAAGCAGTGTGCGAACAGGCAATGTGGAGACCATACACCATAGAACATCGACCTTGTGCTTCCACTGCACCTTCTGTAATGCAACGGTCATAATGCTTATCTGCCTGAAACTGGGAGCAGTGGCTGCCGTGGGGGGGTGATGTCTGCAAACACTGGGGAGCCTTGGCTTCGCCCTGCGCTCCGGCCCAGTGAGTTATCGCCAATGGCACTGTATCACGGCACAGTTACGATGATGGGAGAATATCTGTCAATCTGCTTGTATTTCACATGCAGGCAGAGAAAGATATGTCATGGAGGGGTTTTGATAAATTCAGAATGTTTTTATGGTTTTGGTCCATATTTCTTTTTGCTCATGGGAGTTTGCCTCTGCAAAATCTTTCAGTTTGCAAATATACAGAATCACATTGATTCTCTTAGTTTTTTTTAAACTGTGAAATCTAAGCATCTTTGACTCTACTAGTCATTTAAAAAGCTTCGGTGTTATTTTTCAAAAGTCTTTAATGGAAAACTGAAGGATTTGGTAAAAGTGAACGTGCTGAATATTTTTAAAAATACTTACGCGCTCCTAGGTGTGACTGTTTAGCACAGGCAGACGCAACCCTTACACGGCAGGAAGGCAAGTATTTAATTCCCCTCCACTGACTTGGGCAATGGCCTGTGAAGAGTAAGGCTGAGCCTTCAACTGTTAGAGATGTGGCTGCTGCTCTCTTCGTTTGGCTGATGGGGCCCACGGGGTCAAAGAAACTACAATTCTGTGCCGGGAAGGTGAGTTCCAGCATCATAGCACAAGCAGAGGTGGTGGCTAACTGCGAAGGAAAAATTAGTCTTTCTGGGAAATTGCACTCTGTTTGAAAACGTCCTTTATTTTGTCTTCTCCTTACATTACATTATATTTGTTTACGGCAGATCTCAAAGAGTGGAAGAATAATATCTGAGAAAGAATACCGGCTAAATGCTATGAAGAGAGATCACCAAAGATATGTACAGGAGTGCTTGGCTCGGGCCATATTTCATAAGGTCCTTGACATGGAGGTGCGCATTTACTAGGGATGTGTAAGCCTTTTCGGAGACTGCCCTACTGACAGCCAGGGGCTGTTGACTCGTACCAGACTGTTTTCCATAGCTGTGCCCTCATGCTCCCCTGAAAGGCACTCTCCTGCTGGGAAAAAGGACAATCTTTGTGCTTGACATCCCCCATGTGAAACCTCCTCTGTCCTCTAGTTGCTGAACCATACTGCCGTTAGAACATACGCTGTCCTGGTGCACTTACTGCACTTGGGCAGTCGTCACAGCATGGGGTGATATCCACAGGGCTAGTTTGCTTAAAACAATTCTAATCAAAACCCAGTAGTTTGAACATGGTTATTTGTCTTATCTGAGTACAAAATCTGGGCACATTCCTGTTACGTATCAAGAATGGAGTTGGCCCCAACAACTTTACGGATTCTCAGTTGTTCCCTTGCCAGTGTTAATATACGCGGGTGTAATGCAAGTGGATTGAATCAACAGTAGTTTTATAATAGGGCGCACTGAGGACCAGGGAGCAGGCGAGGGATAAGCAGAACAGCAGCAAGTGTTCTTAGATTCATTGACATCTCATAATGTCCATTAATGAGGTTTCTCTTTCTCTTACATTGATAGCGTCATCATCAGCTGGAAATAAAAAAGAAACTTGAAAATTCTGTGAGGAAGGAGAGGGTGCAGAAAATCAAGGTAAGGCTTGAGTGCTACTGAGCGCTGATGGGACACGGCAGTTTTGCCCTCTGTTAAATAACAGCCATGAGTCGGGCCAGAGATTCATTGAGCCAAGTGTCCCGTCTCTGATGTTCATGGAAAAAGTGCAAGAAACAGGAAAGTAGAAGATGATCCTGCCCCAGGTTCCATCTCCTTTGTCTATCCAGTAGTTCAGGGACTTCCATTCATGCACAAGACTCCTTCTGAATCTACTTATTAATTTGGTTCTGCAGTGTGCTTGGTTGTGGAATTCAGTTGTGAGTTTATGAAATGGTACTTCCTTGCATGTCTGCACAATAATGAATGTATCTGCTGTCTGATAGTTCTGTTTGCTCCATTGTTGTTGTTATGAAAAAAGTTAATAACTGTTCCCCTTTTCCAAAGCATTTGTGGTTTTACGTACCTTTTTCATATTCCTTCTCAGTTTTGCAAGCTGAAGACCCTCAATCTATTGAATCTTTCCTACATGAGCCATTCCAGTCTTCTAATTACTGTTGCCATTTTTTTTACCTTTTCTAGTTCTACTATTTCTGTTTTGAAATGGGGAACCAGAACTGGATGAATAATTTAAGATACACGTTGCAGTTCTCCTAGTAATTCTAGACACTACCTGCTTTTGAGTGCTGCTGGGCACTGAGCTCCCGTTTTCAGCTCTTTGCCTCTCCACATGGTATTTAGCAGAACCAGCACGTAAGTAATGAAAAGAGGTCTCAGGAGTCTTCACTCTGGTGTCATGTGGGTAGAGCTTGATCCTGCAGTTGTTATAGTCATGGAAGTCCCACAGAAGTCAATGGTTCTTCTCCCCACGAAGTCACGTGGACTCATATGGGACAAGTTGTTCTCATTTTGGCTGAAAGACACTCAACATCTTATTTCTGTATTGGGAGCCTGCATACATGCAGAAGAACGCGTGGAGAAGTAGATGCTGCTTTGAGCAGTTGAAAAACAATGTCAAATCTTTTTAATTTTAAGTAATACATTTATGAGCGATTAATCAGGTAAAGAAATGAGGAGATTTTCATGAAAACTGCTGATCACTATGGTAATTGCAAAGGCATTATTTACTGACCGAACTGCTGGTAGAAAGTCATCACAGTGGCAGCAGCGACTACGGTCCCCTGTCAAGGGATTCTGATTCTGGACTTGGGTAATTTTGGAACACAAACCAAAACTGCTTCCTTCAGTGAAAAGGGTAAGGGAGACGCCTGCAGATATGTGGTCTGTGTCTTTGCTGTGATGCCACACTGAGACAGAGGAACCTGCTGGAATTAGCAGTGTAATTTAATTCTCACCTCATACGTTCAGTGAATTCAGCTGAGTGGCTGATCTAAAAGGAGGGGAGACAGACAGATGACTGGGCAAGGGAGGATGAGAGACATAGCTGTCTATTTCCAGAAGGGAAGTTGGCCCGGTGTGGAGCTTTTGAGAATAAAAGGTGGGGAGGGGCAGCAGTCAGAGCAAAGAGGTGGCAGATGCACTCAAATTTAAAAAAGAAAGAGATCTTCAACCAAACCAAGCATTGGGATGTGGGCAGAAAGAGGCAGATTAACTGAATCTGGGGAGTCTGCAGCTGGAGGGGGCTGCAGGGAAATGAGTCGGAGATGGGAACAAGTCTCTTCCCTCGTCCCTCTCTCCTCCTCCCCTTGATTTCCTTTCCTTCCTTAACCAGGTGTTCCACAGGGGCTGGGCAATCTGGTCATCATAGCTGTCGATGAAAGGCAGACGGAAGGCAAGCTCAAACATTGCTGTTAATTGCCTTTAGTACCTCAGAGACGTAAATTTCTGTTCTTTTAGGTGGAGCAATCCAGAAGATTAGTGGAAGGTGCTGGCCACATGCGCTCCCCGCATCCGCCACTTGGTTCAAGAAATCGTCACGGGCTCCATCCCTTAGTGGCTGGAGAACCAGCCGGTCGCTCGCAGCTGGTGAGTGTCACCACATACTGCGTGTTCTGTAATATAAGCACAGATGGCTGAAAGCCTACTCGTACACCTATGGCATCTGCGCTCAGTCCGGAGCATTGCCTGCCCTGAGCACTCCGCATTAGGGCCTCATCCTTCATCTCCTGAGGCTGATTGCCTGTTGCGGGATGGTCTCATGGAAGAGAAATCTCGAGAAGCCGATGTTGCAGGAATGGCACATCAGAACTCAGGAAAAAATAGCTTTGCTTGTGATTAAATCTGCTTTAATCTTTCCCTTTTATCTGCCTTGTCACCCAGGGCTAGGCCAGTATCAGTACATTAAGTCAATAAATACCGTAGCTGTAGGTAGGTTTAGGGATGTCGTAAAACCCTGCAAGCAATGGGGGGCTTTTAGAAAACACAGTTGAAGGGGTGCAGTAAGAGTAAAGCTCGTTGCAGAAGGCCGTGCTTTGGAGCTCTGGCTCAGAAGCCTCTTACTCTCTCTGAAGAGGCAGAGGAGGAATGTTAATGTACTCCTCCAATGTAGTGAAATATAATGATACTGAAGTCAAAGGTCAAAATATGGTCTACTTTTAGCTGGTTCTCCATTTCAGTAACGATAATCAGTGCAGATTGAAGAGAGACTTTCAGTGCTGAATGACCTTCTCCTCTCCTTCCCATACAGAGGGCACCCGGACCTGTAGGTGGTTATAACGGTGGACGTCCTTCGCAGCAGCACCCAGCCAAGGAGCCAGCCTTTTCTAAGGTGCTATGTTAACTCAGTTAACCAGTTTTTTTAGGTTTTAACATTTTAATTTGGTATTCTGAAGGGTATACAAGGAAAAGATGACATTAAAAAGTCAGGAAAATGCTGAGTATTGAACAAAAATAGGCATGCTTTTGTCACGCGTTCTCTCACTGTCCATGTGCTGAAGTCGCCAAAACATAGCACACTGCCACAGGTTCTGCGAGTTCGTTACGTTTGCTTCAGGGCCGCACTGTGAAGAGACAGTGGGAAAACCTAGATTTATGCCAAGAGTCAGTTTGGATGCTGCGGTTTTTGGATGCTCAATCAGAGATGCCTAAAGTGTCTGGCTCTTCAGAGGCAGACTAGAAAATTTCATTTCCTGGAGGTACCTGAGAATCACTCATCACTTCCAAATATCTTGTTCAATGCGATTCTTTTTTCTTTTTTTCCCCCCCTTTTCTTTATGCTGCTGCTCTGCACTGGAAACTATACGTTGAGATTTTGTAGCTGTTTGCTTTTTGCTTTTCCAGACTTCCTGGCGACCAAATACAGCTCCAGGAAACATGCAGCGCCCGCTTCGCCTCCAGCCGCTTCGCAGCTCTGCTGCAGTGGGGTCTGTACCAAAGACTTCCAGCTCTAAACAAAAGTGCCACGCACTTGAAAATAATCAGCAGTTTGCCAGTGAGGTGAGGCCATATTTCATTCTGAAAATAGTATAATTTTAGAGACAGCTTTATAATACTGCTTTAGTACTGTAGTTCCCAGTAGGCAACATGCCTACCCAATGGTTATCACCTTTTATTTTAACTCTCCTTTTTGACCTCTCCTTAATTTTCAAGGCATTTTCTTACTGGCCTAATGCCCAGTTCTTGATCACAGCTAGGAAAAATGTAGTGACTTCTCTTTCAAAGTATAAAACCTCTCTGCATGCAAAGTTTTCTGCCTCTACATAGATTTTCTGTTACGTAGAGAGGGAGGCAGCCAGTCGGTTAACACCAGTTACTCAGGAATATTTTCAAACGGTCTTACAAGTTTTCATCATCAGCTACAGCTGCCAAGTAGCAAAAAAATAATTTCTTTTTTTTTGAACATTCCTCTTACTAAGTCACACTAGTAGGTTCAGAGAATGAGAGCTTTTTCGAGTAGCCAAATTTGATCTTGATATGTACGCAGTTACTTTCAGGTGAGATTTGGACTTGTCTTCTGTTCTAGAAAAACATGATGTAAATGGCTTTGTGTTAGGAGTTCCAGGGGGCTGGAGGGTTTGGGAATGGGACTGTGACCTGCCACCTGTGACTGGCAGATGCTGTGTGAGTAGCTCCCTTCTGCTGTGCATTTGCTCTGCATGGCGATGGTCACGATCCTTTCTCTGCTGGCACTAGCTATGTCTACTCAAATTATGGGTCATTTAAATGATTGCTTTAGTGCTCACTACTGACACAACAGCTAAATCGGATCCAGAGTGTGTACCGTTTGCAGAATTTATTCTCTAGAGACACCTTGCCTTTCAGAGCCCTGGTTCTCTGTTTGAATTTCACCCTGAAGGAGGACTAAACCTCCACTACAAATGGGAAAGAAGCATTTTGAACCACATCTTGTATCATTGGTGCCAAATGATGTTACTGTTGGAAGATTCTGTCTGCTTTGGAATAAGCTCACCAGCTGAGAGCACGCAGCAGTGCTGTGGGGCTGTGCAGTGTTCTGTCTGTGCGTGGTCAGAGCTCTGCAGGGTTACAAATTGTACCTGGTTTACAGTGTTGTATATAGCATTCTGCCTGTTGCTTTGCAAATTAAAAGAAAGGGTTTTAGCACAGAGATGTTTTCATGACCAAAACTGCAAGCACCAAGTTAAGGAATTGTTCTAGAAGTGCGTGTGTTACTAAATGCAAAGAGCAGTCAAACCACGGTTAGTTCAATGTGCCCGGTAGCTGGTTTTGCGTAACCTATTTAACCTGGTTAAAATGTTTTTGCAGGAGGAGAGGAGTGGGTTAAGACTTATGAATTCGATTGAATATGTGACCGGTGTATCTCCGTATCAACTCCCTGTCATTAACAGTCATATGATACCAGTGCCGCCTCCCCCCCTGCAAAAAGGGGACAAGAGCGTAAATGCAGTGAGAAATGGGATGCCCAGAGGCAGACGATTTCGTCCCACCACTGCACCAAATGGCTTAGAGCAACTTTTAACAAAGGTAAGCTGTCTCTGCCTACTTCTCACTTTACGTGTAGGAATATTGCCTTCCTCACGGATGTATTCACCTAATGCTGAAAGACATTAGTATTCCTAGTTTGCATAAAGGTTTGCTGAATTACTGAAAGGAAGAAAACTTACAACTATTAAAGTATGTAACTGCCACCTATCTCTCTGTGTACTGAAACATTTGAGGTTTTTCATCTGTTGGGGGGAAAAAAAGGTGCTTGAACGGAAAAAACATAGCAACTCTTATTTAAAGCCTTCCATCGTAGTCAATCTGATCCTGTCTCTGACCATATCTGGTACCAGAACTGCAGAGGGATATATGAAATGCCTTGAGCGTGTGAAAACTGCATCTGTTACACCACAGCTCCAGCCAGTTTTGACTCCTGTAAAGGAAATTGTAGGAACCCAGGATTGGGAGGGATGATATGGATCTTTAAACCTGATCCCTGCAATTTTGGGCTGTTCAGTGCAGTGGATTTCAGTCCAAAATATTTTCCTGCCCTTCTACATGTGACAAAACGCTTTCCCCTTGAAGCAGCTCAAGGCCTGTCTTAAAAGAGTGGAAGCCTCCAGTGTACGTACGCATCTTTGTGTTCACCCTTTGTTAGAGCTGGAAGCTGAGTGCATTTTTTGTGTATTTCCTGCTGCAGAATTCTGGAGGATTCCCTAAGCCCTCGTTACGCAGCAACGCATTTGTTACCATGGTCTTTCTAGGAAAAAGTGTGCATTTATCTCACGATGGCGCTGATTACCGAGACGAAATCAAAGTCTATCAGCAGCATTGTGGAGGAGAAAACCTTTGCGTGTACAAAGGCAAGCTGTTGGAAGGAGGTGAGGATAAAGAGTCAAAGGGTTCATATCGATTCTGGCAACGGCTTTTTTTTTTTTTTTTTTTTTTTTTTTTTTTTTTTTTTTTTTTTTTTTTTTGGCTAAAATGCTGATGTGATAGCAAAATGATTTCAGCTGAGCTCAGTCAAGATATATGCATCCAGGGATTTTTATACCATCTGCCTCCACACTAAATGTGGATCTACTGTTCCATGGCTGAAAGTGAGGTTGCAATTACTTTTGCAAATTAGGGTAGAATGAATTTAGAGAACTGACTTAACAAAATACTGTAGCTTAGATGAATTTTGTGTAGAGATGCGTGCTTAATAAAGTAGTTGTAGCAGTCAACTGTCCTTAAATAGGGGTTTTCTGTTTCTGACTTGCTATAATAATACATCAGTGCATGTTGCGTATTATTGCAGAAGGAGGCGTACGTAGTGGGAGCCCAGTTCCCATCTCTTTTACGTGAGAGCGATTCCATCAAACCAGTAAAAGGCAAATTGTGTTCTGGGAAATTGGGAAGAGGAAATGCCTGGGAGACTTTCACTTATGAGGAAGAGTGATCCCACAGATTGTGCCCCTCGTTCCAGCTCGCAGAGCCCACGGCGTTTGTGTTCCCGTTTTCCCTGGGGCTGGGAGGATGGTGCAGAGACCCCTGCCCGTCAGCCTGTCCCCTGAGGTTATGGGCACGCCACAGTGCGCCCGCAGATCTGCTTAGGGCATTTGTCACAGCCATGTCCCGGCTGTGCGGAAGGTGTCCTCGGGGTGTGCTCCTCTTGTCCCGAGCCCCATTCTCACCCGTGAGGGAACCTGCTGGAGTTCAGCGTGGGTTCCTTCCTGTGGCTGCACGCCCGGTTCCCTTCGGCAGGACACTGTGACTTGTGGGTGAAGGGAGTACGACCCAGTGCCCCCCAGCACGGCGCTGGGAGCTCCTCAGGGTCATTAGGGTCTGGTGCCCTTGCAGTCACCCAAAACAGCTCCTGAAACAGCATCTTCGAGCTGCGCAGGGTTGCTCTGAGTACAACCACATCAGTGTGGGCTCAGAGCTGCTAATGCTGCAGCCCGGCTGCAGCCTGTGAGGTGCTGCGCTGAGGAAGGCAGTACCCTGCAGGAGCTCTAACGTACTGCTGCACTGCGCCACGGAGACACACGCCAGGAATCCTAAACCTCCTGTGCATAATGTGCGCTCCTGTAAGGCAAGCAGCAGGGTAATTATTTTGAGACGGGAATCTCTAGTCCCTGTTCTGCTGTAGCACTGAGTGGCCATGCTGACGATGTGTTAGCTGGTCGCAGGAGTGTCCAGCGTGGAACTCCTGCGTTGGAAAGAGACAATGATGTTGTGTGGGAAGGAGGAGGAGTTTTACCAACTAATTAACACAGCCGAGAGCCATAGTACCTGACCTCAGAGGGCTGGGTGCTTTGGAGGTGATGCAGATGAGGTACAATTGCAATAGGCTGACAGTAAAGCATGGCCTTTTCCTTTGAACCCTCTCCTTTCCGTGATTACAGAGACCTTTCAGTTTGTCTCGAAGAGGCACCATGGTTTCCCATTCAGCCTCACCTTTTTTCTCAACGGGATGCAAGTGGACAGGTTGAGCTGTTGCTGCGAGTACAAACATCAGAAGCGTTCCAGGCTGGGAGGCAGACATGGGCACTTCGGGTTTCTCAGTGTGGAGGGAGCATCTCCTTGCTACAGGTATGGAGACGAATGCACTTTGCTCACAAGGACTTAGCAGCCCACCCATCACCCTGTGGGCAGTGTTTGCGCTGGATCTGTCAGCTCCTCGGGAGGCAGGCAGCTCTGCCTCCGCAGCCGAGCAGGGAGGGATAGGTGTGGGGTGGTACACCTATGCCACTGGCATAATTCTGGTGGAAGCGATAGTGAAATAAATATCAAGTGCTGCTGAGTTAACTGCAGTTTTCAGGGCTTGTTTTTGTGATTGTGAGAGCAAGATAATTTATTTTTAAGCAGCTCTCCCTCTAAGGTGGGAATCTGCTGTAATAGCCCTGGCTGCGGAGTGAGGCAGTATGGAATGTTGGCCGTGTTTCACACAACGAATCTGGGCTGAAGGTTCTTGGTTTTGGGCAAAAGTCAGTGCTGTGAGCAACAGCTGTGGTTTTGCCAAGGAGCTTTAATTTTAATAAAATCTTTCTTTTGTGTGATTACTAAGTCATGCCAGACAAGTAAATTGCACACATGGATAGTTTTAAAAGTTTTTTGTTCTTTTCATAAGGAATTTTTAAAAGAGCAGCAAGCAGTTGGAAGAACAGAACCTCCACAGAGCTGTACTGTATTTTTTAGATAAGGACTGAATTCTAAGAAAAAAAAAATCTACATTATTGTACCATATTTTTTTCTACTCCAATTTAACATTGAACATGATTTATGTAAATGTATTACTTAGTATGTTCAAAGTAGTGAGAAGCATCTGAATTCAGAATGGATATAGTAGCTACAGAGTTTAAGAAATGCCCAGATCTCGTCTTTTGTGTGATTTCTAGAAACATTTGAAGTGAATTTTCTGAATTAATATAGTCTCCGAAAATTGGATAATTTCTTCCTGAGTCACCAGGCAGTGTTACTCTCCTTCAGGAAGGAACTGCATCTGTGTTTGTGGAGCACTTGAGGATTTTAGGGTGCTTCTCCAAGTAAGTCATTGTCAGTCACCTTGTTGTCTGAGTGGCAATGCAGAGGCAGACAGGGACCTGGTTTTACTGCTGATAATGAGCTGAATAGCTCACTGTGTCTGCTGCCCTTCCGTTGTTCACAGAAAGAAAAATGTGACACTTTCCAATTCTTCTTGTTTTTTTATAGGTGCATTATTGCGATGGGTCTGGACAAAAAGCCATCCCCTCCCAAGCGGAAGATGGAGGACCACGAGGAAAAGCATGTGGGTTCCTGGAGAGATGGAGTGCACAGTGAGCCAAGTAAAAGCAGTGTTGAGCAGAAATCGCGCAAAGATTCAGTGTTAGTCATCATACCAGGTCACGAAGCGAGTGTGGAAACTATTGAGGACAACATGGAGACTGGAGAGGAGCACAGAGAAGAAGAAAGGGAAAAACTATCTGATGGTGAGCGTGAAGATAGTCAGGAAGACACTGCTAAAAATGGTACAGTATTCCAAAGCACCAGCAGGGGATGAAAAGTGGGAGAGGGTGATTCTGAAGAAGGTATGGGATTGTGGGATTCCAGCTTCGCCTGGAGCATCCTCTCTTAGGACACCTCACGTGTGAGAAATGTGGTGATGCCTCTGTCTGGGCAAGAAAATTAGTGGGTCTCCTTTCAGCCGAGCAACAGGATAAGAGGGTTTTGAAAGAGCCAAAAGCGAGTATGGAGGGTCTGAGAGGCCGAAGCAGGAGCCTGAGGTGGGTGGGAAAGCAGAAGGAAAGCGGGGGACAGCAAAGGGACAGCAGCGAAGAAGGAGAATGGCAGCAGGTGGAGGACAAGTAGAGCAGAGGGAAGAAGTGGCACTCTGTGTGGGTAGGGAGAGTGAGTCCGAGGTGAGCTCGTGAGGGAGACAGGACGTCAGCATAAGGTGAATGGAGAGAAGACGGCGGCCGTGGGGGCAGGAGGTAGAAAAAGGGAGGGAAGGTGGGAAGAGCACATAGCAGCAAAACGTCAGCAAGGTTTGGCTGGTTTGAACTATTTTGGTCTTTTCTCCTGTCTGTTGCCAGTGGGAGTGTGATGCTTTGTTCACCTAAGGCTCTTCCCAGTCCCTTCTCCGGCACACTGCCCCAGGCACCGCTTGCCTGACAGCTGCCCAAACCTCCAGCTTCCTCGCTCGTCTGAGCGTTTGTTCCCTCTGCTCCAGCTCCCCCAGCCCACCTTTCCTGCCTTCTCTGCTCCGAGGCCCCGGGCCATCGTCCTTTCCCTTTGCCGAACGCTCCCGTTGCCTGTTGTATCCGGCCAACCTTGCCCTGGTGTGTCAGTCCCATCTCCTGTTGGCAGAGGCTTAAAATTAAAGACCGGAGAGAGGCTGCCCTTGCTGAAAGTTTGCCCAAGAGGTGTTCCTTGCAGCAGACAAAGATAATATTTGTGGTATAAAAATGATGCGTGGCAGCTCCAGCTGCATGCTCAGAGCGTGCCGTTTGCCCAGTGCTACCTGAGGCCAGTCCCTGTTGCCACCAGGCTGCCGCTGACTGTCCCTACGGGAAGAGATGGTGAGCGTGGCCCAAGCCTTCGCTCACTCCCTATTGTAGCGCCTTTTTCAGAGTAAGTCCAGTCGAGAGAGAGATTTTAATTCCTACTTCCCACTCCTATTTTTCTATTTTTACTTTCATAATTTATCGCAGCCACTGCTCAGCTCCCTCGTTAGTCCCTGTGGATCGCGTCTGTGATTCATCAAGCCTTTTGCCTTCCAGGCAGTGGGCACCTTTCTGACAGTTACCTAAGGAGGACTCACTTCCAACAGCGTGGTTGGAATCTCAACTGATTTTTAATACGGAAAATAAATCTCCTTATTCCCTTAATTCTCATTGTCTGGGTAATTGTTTATTTGCCTAATTGGTTCTGCATCAGATACTCTTCATTTCTGTCCCTGGCATTCTGTCACTGCAGTACTTTAGAAGCACTGATGGAAAGGAAAAGAGGTGAGCAATGCCATCTGAAAGGTGAGAAAGCATGGCCACGAGGGACAGCTGGTGTGTCAGCAGCGACAGCTCTCCTTCCCAATTGAGGTTTGTTGTCTCTGCTGCGTGCGCAGCGAGCTCGTGGGAGCAGTGGAGCTGCAGGATTTGAAATGGCAATCAGTGACACCACTGTGCGTGCTGGTGCCTGGGATCTTAAATAGTGCCGCCGTGGCTGGAAGGGAAGGGTTGTCTAATGCGTATGCATGAAGAGAGTCTTCACCTATAGAGCTGAGCAGTTACTTGTCAAGTGTTACAACTTGTCATGCGAGTAGCCTGGCATGAAATCCAGACCATGGTGGTGTAAAAATGGTAGTTCTGCCATAAGCCTCATTTGTGCAAGGATTTCACCTGGGACTCGAAGGAGCATCTTAGACCAGTGTGATAACAGACTGTTCCTCTGCAGCACCCTTTGACTGGGTTTCATTAATTCATTTAGTTTGTGAGCCACTTCTTTGCTAATTAGCCATGTCAATCCACATTTATCTTACTTTGCGCTTCAATATATGGCCTTTCTCCAGCTTTCTCTATTGCTTGGTTGTTTTTTTTTTTTTTATCGCAACAAGTTTTTCTCCTGTAATAAGACTGTCTTGCATTTTATTTCCGAGTTTGCCCAGCTCTTAACTTTTCTAGTCCTTTCAGTGGCTAATGATTTTGTTTGGTTTGTTTTTAATGTATTAATCATACTTGGTGCATCATTCAGTAGCTTTACTGCATTTTTGCTGCTCTAGCTATGAAGAACATGATGCTTTTTTATGATAATGTGCTCTTATGATTTCTGTCTGTGGTCTTAGATTCTCTCTTGGCTTTAAAAGGACTGAGCAAATGCAAAGGCAAAGGGAGATGAACGAAGTTAACCTCTGTCTCCTTAAAAGGACTTTATTAGTTGTGAATTCTGTTTCCTGTCTCACAGTATAATTCTTTTATTTTAGAGTACGATGAAGATTTTGAAGAGGATGAAGAAGTTAATGAAGGGGGTCAGACTCGTGATCAAATGAATGGAATGTCAAAGTCAACCTCAGATGATAAAAACCATAATTTAGGCTCTGAAAAGGAGAGTAAAAGCTCCTCACAGAAGGCACTGCAGGACTCTGACAGTGAGAAGGATGAAAGTGATGGATATTCTGACAGTGACTCGGAGGATGATAAACAAGGTTAGTTTTTTTTTTCATGATAGGGCTTAGAGAAGTTGAGCTGCTGCGTGTTTTACGTTTGGTGTATGTCCAATATGTATATTGAGTCTGCATAGAAAAAACCATGCAATTCCTACTGAATTGGTAAAAGATAGCTATTTTATCTGTTATAAATTCTACCATCCGTCACGGAAATCCGGCCAAGCCCGCTGGCAGCGTAAGCGTGTGCCAGCTCACAGCAGACTCTGCTGAACTATTCAGTTGCAGAAATGGAGATGGAGTCAATCAGCAAATGAGCTCTGAGTCCGCGGGGCAGCTCAGCACCTGACGCCAGTGGTCACCGACATCCGTGGAGCTGTGACCACTTACACCTGCGGAGCATACGCGCCTTCAGCTGAGGAATCACCAGGAAACCCAGCACACCACCTTCTGTTTTAGAAGTGCTGTCTTTAATGGTCCCGAATAATCCGAAGCCCAGCTCTGTGCCCTGGTCCGTCCCTGGCAGCCGGGTAGGGAGCGTCCCTCCCCAAGTCTGGCCGAGAGTCAGCAGGGATCGTGGTCAGGAAGGTGGTCTGTGATCCTTGATCCAAATGTAGGTACGAAAGTGTGCAGTGAAGTGCCCAAGACCATTATTATTGTTAATTCAGAAAGATGAAACTGTTCTGGAATATGTTTTTGTAGAGTAAGTAGCATTTTCTGCCATTCAGTTTTTCGGATCAGTGCTTTTAATGCCTAGTGTTTTAATTATGGGCCTTCATGCAGTCCAAGCTGTGCATCTTCATAAATAATCCCCCAGAACACTTGCAGGCAATTTCGCATTCATTAGATGAAGAATAGAATTCCATTCACCACGTGGTGAACAAGTGGGAAGTGAAGTGCCTCTTCCTTCTGGCACAGTGTTGTATTTCTCTAACATTTCTCCTCTATGGCTTTGTTAGATCCTGACCTGACTTATGTGCCTCTTGCTTGTCATAATGTACCAGGATTTCTCCATTTACCTCTGTTTTAAAATTAATTACTTCATCTTCCTTACATTTGACAGTCCTATTGTGCAAACTGTTTCTCAAGTTAAATGGAAACATTACTTTCACATTTGTATTTCTAGGTGAATTAAAGAAAAGCAATACAGCTGTTTGCAAAAAGGTTGCAGCTGCAAGAAAGATCCAGACTTTTTATAGAAAGTACAAAATCCAACAGAAATTAGAATCAGGTTTGAGAAATCCTTGCTTATAAAATCATTGCAGTGATCAAAAAGAATCGATTTTTGTTTTCTCATGATGATAATCAGAAATAGCTTGTGATTCATGAGTAATCAGTGCAACTAAGCATTCTTTTCTGCTCGTTAGTGTGTGGCATTGCCAACTTTTTGGTGACTTTGATTAGCTGCTTCTCAAGCTCTAACAGTGTGTGTGGATGCGCAGGTGTGTATAGGTGAGCAGGGGACTGCAGGGCCCTTTCATGGCTACCTATACGTTAAGGCCTTCGTTAGGGGCCGCCCTTACGCACCTTTGCACTGCGATGTAGCCGTGCTGCATGCACCAAAACTCACCCGTTCAGTATGAGTTTTTCTGTGATGAGGAGAAAGGCTGTTGGGAAGCCATCAAATCTTGACATAGGGACGTTTAACATCCGCAGCGAATACTGTAAAGCAGCCAGTTGTGGTGCCCATCAGCTGCGAGGTGCTGCGAGTGCGTGTCCGGTCCTATTTGCCGCGGCTTTGCTTCCTTCTCCCTTACTGCAGTAGCTCAGGACAGGCGTTTAAATCGTTGACATTCTCTGTGGTTTTAAAGAAGACAGGTTTAACCCTCTTTCTTAGCAGCCTCATCTGCTGCTTCTGTCTTTTCCATCAGCGCAGTGCCACGGTGTTCACCGGTTATTGCGTCTCATTTGGCAGTCAGTGGCAGGCGGTGGGTGTCCCGCGCTGGGCAGCATTGCTGCCGTGGAAATGGGGGAAGCTGCTTTCAAAGAAGCTCAGGGCTTGGAATCACTCTTCCCTTTGGCTCACGTGAGCCTTTCCAGCGTGCCTTGCACAGAACGTGCTCACAAACAGCGAGCAGTGGAACCCGAACTGGTGCTGGGCATTTCCTTCTGCGTGAACAGGGAAGGAATTTGTTGTAGGACGGGTTTGTCATCTCCCAAATGTCCATTCACTGTGTACCTGATGGCATTGCAGTCCTCATCTAGTTTTATCCAGATTTGGTTCTAATCTTTTAAAGAAAATGATAGCTTTTATTTGTTGTTTTTGACCACTCTAGGCATTGATACATTGAACAAAAAATGCCTTTGTTTTTTATTCCTGATTCCTATTTGTTGATATTTGATATTTTCCCCTTTGTAATGAAATCGTTCTACTGTTTTTTTTTTTCCTGCCACTGATTTGAAAAGGTGGAGAGAAGAGATAAAAAGACCAACTGAGACATAATAATGAATTTATGAAAAATAAGAATTCATTGGTAATTTTGAGGACAAGAAGAGCTTTCTCTTTGAATGAAGGACCCTCACTCTCAGAAAATAGTCTGTGTAGAAATACTTCAAGCAACTTCAGTAGCAACCACTAGTTTCATTTTTTTATTTTAAAGTGCCTAATAGGTCTCAACAGTGGAAGACTTTTCTGGGTATTAATTATTAAAAATAGTTGTCTTTAAAAACCACGGAGTTAAATTAGTTATGCCTTTTTGCACATCCTTAAGCGTTTTTTTTCCCTTCTTTATGTTTACATTTACAAGTTCTCCAAGACAGCATATCCCTACCTGAGTCACCATTTTCCCAAGTCCTACGTAGTTGTTCTCTTATAACTGAATCCGTATACCTCTTTAATATCCAGCTCTTTTCCACTTACCTGAATTGCCGCTTCCTGGACGTATGTAGTTGTGACAGATCTAGAAATTAATGTACTGTCTCGGGGGAAATGTCTGTAAAGGAACCCCCTTCCTCAGCCCCTTGGATTTTCTAAGGGTGGAGGAGTGTACTCTGAGTGGGGTTCTTTACACAAGAAGACACTGAGATAACAGGAGTGCACTAAAGGACGATTGCTGTGGTTGAAATAGTTTGTAACATTGAGCTCAAGAAACTACTCTAAAACCTGTCTGGGTCACATTTAGAGGTGCTTTTGGAAGTGCGTATCTGTGTGATGGATGGAGCTAATCTGGTTCATTTCCATTATCAGAAAAAAATCTGTTAAATGCCTTTGATTTTTAACACTTTGATACTTCTGGGCAATGTTCTTCTATTGCACTTACTGGAACTTTGTCACGATATCCTCAGATGGTGTAATCCAGAGACTGATGTCAGACAAGCGTCTGTCCCTTTGTGCACAGCAAAGGGAACTAGTGGCCAATGAATGCAGATGTTTTAGTGACAAATTCTAAACCAAAATTATGTTTGCTATTTCTAGAAAGGCGGGCTGCACACTCGCTCTCGTCCGTCAGTACTCAGTACAGCAGTGAAGATGACTCTCGTGGTGAAATGATGGAAGACGATGTTAAAGGCAAAGAGGAGTATAATATCGAAAGGGCATCTGATAACACAGCACGTGTACAATATGGAAATGAGGATGGGGAGAATAAACTGCTCAGGATGGAGGAAAATCAGGAAACTTTTACACTGGAAAAGGAAGGAATAGATGAAGCAGGAAAGGCAAAACCAGAAGATCTAACAGCCAGGGAAGATACCGGAATTTTTAATAAAGATAAACCGGCAATACAGCATCAAAGCCCTGAAGTTAATGTGGAACTCAAAGGGGCTGAGTCAGTAGAAAGCAACACAGGGGAAGATGGGGAGAACAATGCAAGTACCAGGAGGGATGGTGGGGAGGAAAGTCTCGTGCCTTTGGCAAGCAGTATGACAGACACTGAGGACAGCAGTGAAGAGTCCCCTCAGAGCGACGACGGAGGTGGTGAGTACGGTCCCTCTGCACAGCAGTGCGTGACTAGTGTGTGCGCGCGTTGCTGTATTCGCCTCACACTAAGCCGTGGTGCAGCGTGGGCAGTGCGGCCGCGGGACTGTTCTCGGGCTGTGAGAATACTCTGTACTGCTGCTAAGGAACCACCCAGAATGTGACCCTGGCTTATTGCTCTTTTCTAGCGTTTCCAGTGTAAGGCTTTGGCTGTTCTTTTTATTCCAGTAGCTGGGTTCCAGCTATCATGCAATTATTATAAAGTCCAAACAGGATTTATTACCTGTAGGACTCCGTGTGCCAGACTGGGGGACTCTGTTTATAATGTTGAATACTAGATTCAAAAAGAACGCCAAAAATCACCATGGGAATCATGGTGCAGCAAATGAAGATCAAAACTATGTCAGTTGAGCTGTGGATGTGTTGCTTCACTCCGTCATGGATGATTTGTTGGCAAGGAGCAGATCGGTCAGTGTGTGGCACCTCATTTTTACTGTTGATAAAACGGGCATCTTGCAGTGTCAGCCTTACCTCTGTGGGTAGTGGGCAGTTAATAAAAGGTTGGCCACACGAGCAAGGCTTTGCGTTATTGTATCTGGGGAACTGGAAAAAATGTAAGCTCTTGCTCTGCAATGTCATCCAGGTCATGGGGGAAATGTCTTGGATGCTGTTAAATCAGGCAGGATAAAAGAATAGTCATCTGTACTGGTGCTGACGTGCAGCAGAGCCACAAGCCAGGGCAGATGAAATTTCTAGTTGTCTTTCTGTATGCTGGATTTGCAGTGGAATGTAGAATGCTTTTCCTTTATTTTGATATTTTTTTTTGGTTCTGTTTCTATTGCTTTCTGTTCACTGCAGAGCATCTAAGAGAGCCGTGTCTGGAATAAACAATTGGAATGCTGGTGCATGACGCTTTGCAAGCCTGTTGCTGCTGGGTTCCTTTGACAGTCTTGTGCATTGCTCTTGCTTTGTTATGCATCCAGAATTGAGGCAGTAGATACAATAACATACTATTCATTGAATAATGCTGAACTCTTCAAAGATGTTTGCTTCTGGAACCCCTCTCTTCACTTGTGTGAAAGAGACTTCAATTTAAGCACTTTCACCACTAGGCTCAGATGAGTTGAGTAAGCACGACTGAAGAAAGAACTAAAAACCGCAAGGACAGAATATTATTCTGCAATACAAAACCACGGAAAGATCAATCGAACGCGTCAAGTTAGTAATCTGGCACTGAGTTAGCCTAAGACAATAGTGGTGTTCTTTATCGGCATAAATTCCTGTGTGCTTACATTCAGCACGTGTGGTTCTATGGCTCGAGGTTTGAACAGAGGTCCTCTGTCAAATAGGGAGAGATTATCAAATATAGAGAGATTGTCCGAATGTTATGTAGGTGACAGCGTTTACTTCTTCGTCAAGTCCCGCATCATCTCTGCTGCCAGGAGACTGGCTGAGGTTCAGGGACAGTGCAGATCAAGGAAGGGCAAGAAAAATCATTGAATCATAAAAATTACAGGTAGGAACAACATCCTAAATTGCATGCTGATTTATCCCTATCTATGTGGGGGTTGTCTAGGTAAATTTTGTAGCAAATGAATTGCCAAGAAACTGTGTGTAGAGCAATGAAAGAAAAAGATAATACCCTTTTTGAGATATCATGAGTGTGGTGAAGAAATATTGTGGGGTAACAAAGGTCACATGGGAATCTTATCTTCTTCTAGGCACTTACCACGGTTGCTGCCATGGTAAAGATTCTAATTCAAAAAATTAAGGGTGTCTACAGTCTTAAAAGAAATGCCGGATGGTTACAAGCCCCTCTCCTCCAGCCCTCCAACAGGCTGAGCGCCAGAAGCCTCCAGAGGTGCCGCGAGGGCTGGAGGAGCTCAGTCCTTCACTGCGACTGTAGAATTGGTTCTCAGTCCGTTCTCGGGCTTCCCTGGTTTTTTCACATGAACTTCTCAGTGAGGCTGGTCATTCTCATCAGCCGTCCAGCCCGCGTTTGGGGGAGGCTGAGACGGCACTGCTTTGGTTTTGCCCCGATGACACCCGTTGTGCTCTGCTTGTGACAGGACTTCTCCTGACCGGTGCCGTCATTAACAGTGCAGGACTACGTCACCAGAGAAAATTGTGTATGCTGAAGAAAGCAAAAGGTGCAAAACGCCCCTCTGGGGTTGTCCAGCTGCAGGCTGAGTCCGGGCAAATCTCAACCGGTGGTGTGAGCAGATCTGTCGGAAGTGTGGAAGTACCCGGGATGGGCTCCTGCTGCGCCGTGTCTGCGCTTGCTGTGCTCGTTGTGACAGGAGGCACTGCTGATCCCGAGAGGGAATCGTTGCGAGCAGTGTTTGTCATCCTCCCCTGGGCTCGTGCATTGACGGACTGTCAAGTCCCCTTTGTCAGCTGTTATGCAGGCGGCAAACGGCGAAGAATGGGGACTGCCGGCCCCAGCCCTATAGTCAGGTCAAAGTAAAATATGTGCACCACAGCCAGCAAAGCACGTGGCGTTTCAGCAGGTCGCAGAGGGGCTGCCTGCACCTCTGCGTGAGGCAGCCAGGGCATGTCCTGGAGCAGAGAGCTGCTTGTCTTCTCTGCAGAGCCGGGACCTCAGAACCACTCAAACAGGCTGTGTGCTATTGCCCAGAGACCCGTGTCAGGATCTTGGCTCCCAGGAGGAACCTTGTAAGTGCTCTCCCGGGACCTTCCCTGCTCAACTCCCATGCTTCCTCCCAGAGCAGATCTCAGAGCTTTACCCGGGTGAAGTGTGGCAGCAGGCAGTGAAGCCATCACTGCCCTTCAGGACCTATGGTATAGGCAAAAAGGCCTTTGTGCTGAGCAAGTGCCTTTCGCTCTGCAGGCTGAAATGGTCTTTTAAATTTTTTCTCACATTTCTGCTCAGAGCTGTGTGGGTGCAGGGTACTGATGGGGTAGGAAGGACGGGTGTAAGCAGAAAGTAGGAGGAACCACAGGAGGAAGAAGAAGAAAAAATAAAAACAAAAGTGGAAAAAAAAAGAAGAAACATAACACATACAAGGGTGAGTAGAAAGAATCAAGAGTATAGGAAAAAAACAAACTCATGGGAAAGGGTGAGAGAGCACAGGGTGTGCACTGGCAGGAGAGAGCCAGGGATTTGGGAAGAGAAGGGTGCAAGGTTGTCGCAGGGAAGACAATGTTAAGTCTTCTCACTGCAAGCCAGTGGGACCAACACCTCTCCCACTCCTGGACCTTTTGGTGCCCTGGCTGAAGCAGCAGGCAGATTAAATCCCATACACACAGCTACATGTATAAAAATCAGTCTCATGAGAGTTGATAGCCATTTTTCTTAGCAAACGGCTGGAGGGAACATTCTGCCACATGCAAGGACACGTGATCTCACTACACGGTGCCCAGAAGTGACAGCGATCCGTAGAAGACCTGTACGAACGCTTTGAGGCAGCACAGTATTTCTGTGGGTTAAGTGGGCAATCTGGATGAGACCACCGGCCAGGTCCCTCAGTCTTATTGTGCTTATTTTTATGCAACCGTTTTTCTTCTAGCAGAGCTCCCGGTAACTAACTTCAGACGTGCCCGACAGATCAGCCCAGAGGCACATCTGACAGCAGTCTGTGTCTCCCAGGGGCCAGAGAAGATGCTGTTCGTGAACACGAGAGGCTCTGTTTTCTGAATTTCACTCATTTCATAGCTCTCCCCGCTGTTAGAAACAAACGCCTGCCTAGTCCTCTTGTCTCCGTTTATGGATCTGATGTCCACGAGTTTGTCTAGTGTGTTTTTGAATGTGCTGATGGTGCCAGCCCCTCGGGCTCCTGCCACAGCGGGTTCACTGCCTCTCTCCTGTCCATTCTTTATTGAGCCAAATATTTTGGGTACCTTCATTACATGCTCTACTGCAGAGCGGCCCAAAGTCAGCCGGTTCCTTGCTGTGGGAGCATTAGCTTTTTACTCGTAGCTCCTTATTTTTATTTCCAGAGAAATTGATATGAGGTGTTGCTTGAAAGTCAAGGTATCATACTGCGTAGCACCTCTTTGCGCTGTGAGTGATGATTTAGCCAGAAACATGTTGGGTGGTGTGTTGTGGTGATTGGTTTCAGTCTGTATTTTTGTAATAGAAGGCGAAGTCGGGATTCAGATCTTTTTTTCTCGCTGGCTGAAACCCTCCTCTACTCTCAGACAAAATGCTTTGTCTCAATGAAGTGCCATAGGCTGATCCTGGGAAGATCATTGGTGAAGGTATCGAAAAGTGTCCGGGCTGTCACCGGCCCTTGGCGTAGGACTTGTCTGTAGACATTCAGAAACTGAAACTTGGAACGAGCGTCTCTGCAGCACTTCTACTGCTTAGATGAATCTGGCCAGTGTCCTGCTTCATGTCCCGTACAGTAATACGATCTAGAAATGTTGTGATTGTCTCCTTTAGGATCTGAAGGTTATGCTTGACATAAGTATGGCGTACAAGCAGTTGTCTGAGCTCCTCCCTTTTGATCAAAGGCTGTTCGAAGCTGTAGAGGAGCAGTCAGAAATAGCTGACTGCTGGCACCGTCCAGGCAGCATCAGGAATTAATGGAGTCTCACGCACACACACACAACCCAAACGAACACAGGCAGCTGTATCAGAGATGCGCCTGAGGGTCTGTGTTTCCTGAGGGACGCGGTTTACTGGCGATAGAGGCCCTTCGGCAGTAAAACCAAGTGTGAGATTTGGCTTTATTCTGTTAGTCCATACCAGTGGCAAACTGGCAAGCTCGTTGTGTAAAGGACTAAGCCAATAACTGCAACAGAAAAGGAAAGATACAGAAAACTGACGGAAGTCGAAGGGCGAAGCCAGGGTTGCTGGAGGGAAGAGCTCTCGGAGGCGATGCTGAGGGGGTCGGACTGCGTACGCAGCTGGAATACTGCACATAAAGGAGTTGTTTAGTATTGCTAACTTGAAAGCCATTTGTGTAATCATTCAGCAAGTCATAAAGCAAAACCAGAACTGATCGCACAATCTTAATAATGTCAAACGTACGACTTGAATGTGAAGCATCTCAGTCAGCAGTAAATACTTCCCGCTTATTTATAGATAAGCATAGGTCTTCGGTCACTTGTGTTAGTTTGGGGAATTGAGGAATCATAGGAACTGTAGTTGGGAGCTTAACACAGAATTTTTTTTTTTAAGTATTCATAGAACAATAATAAGTTTATGTCTATAAAACACTGTTGTTGCTCATATGTTGAACCCCCTCAGACTGCCTGACAAAAGCAATCTCGCCGTTGTGTGGAAGTGTTGTAGGAGATTGCCGCTCTAAGTTTCAGCAGGTGCTCCTGCATGATTTTTCCCTTGGATTTTTAATGGTTGTCTCCATTTGGTTTTAATCAACTTCAAAGAACTATTGCTGGTGAAGCTTTACATGGCTCCAGGCAGGTCTGCCCTAACATGTCAAATTTTAGACCAAGCTGAGCTGGCTGGATGACTTCTACTCCCCTTTTGCTTTTTAATGGTCTCTCTTTCTTGCTTCTTCTTTTGTAACTTCGTGATAGTTTTTGCGGATTGCCAACCAGTGCAGGAGGAAATAGCAACGGCAATTGGAAATAATCACCATGTGAGTTCTGAACCTGAACCTGGTGATTCCCATGCAGCAGAAGAAGAAGAGAACATAACAAGTACAGAGCATGATGCCAGTGAAGGTGAGGTTGTCTGTCAAACGGGGACATGGATTAAATATTATTCATCTGAAGTATTTTTGTAGAGGTGTTTGCCCTTTCCTTTCTAGGCTATCCAACCCCCCTTGTGCTTTTCTTTCCTAATTTGTATAAAATCGGGTGATGACTAGCTGGCTTCTGCAGTCATGTATGATTAATGCCTTTTTGGCAGTTATAGTGGTCCTAGGTAAAGAATCCAGGCCATGAAGGGTCCGGCTGTCAGTCAAGACGATAGCTGTGGGCAGCAGGAAGCTCCTGAGCTTTAGCGCGGCGCCTCCTTGGGAAGTACATAGTCAGTACGGGCAGGATGGGACCGGCAGACGAGGAGCGAAGCTGAACTGCAGACTCCATCTCCGTGCCGTACCCGGTTTGTCTCCCAAACTCACCTCCCTTTTAGCCGTTGGCACTATTGGCAGTGTGGACACTTCAGCTTGGTCTCGGTTCCCGCCAAGGATGTTTCTGGTCCCTGCAACCCTAGCGGGGTTGGTGTGCCGGGGAGAAGAGCCTTGCGTCTTACAGAGCGGGTATTAACGCCAGCCACCTGCCGCGGCAGTGAGCCCAGTGACAGTAACCGTTAAGATGCCGCGGCACAGTAGCAATGAGTCTGAAAAGAGAAGAAAACCATAGGTTAAACCTGGCTTCAGTCTGCACCGGTGCTCTTCCATTTACTTCTTCCATCCTCTAGGAGTCTAACAGCTGGCAGGAACAGGTCAGATATTGTTTTTAAATTGCTACCTGTGCACTCTTTGGCACGTTAATCCAGGGTGTTCTATTTTTTTTTTTCCTCTGGTCAGCTGGGAGCCTTTGGATCTTCTTCCTCTTTGTAGTCTAAGAACATAGTCTTTTAAGGTTTGTTGTCTTTTTTCATCCAGAAGGTGTATACAGGAGGCTGGAGGTTCCTTCCCATCTCTGGTCTGTCAGTCATGGTCTTTTCCTCAGTAAAGCTTTCTCAGATGAGCTTGTGTCTGCCTTGGTCTCATCAGCTGACCACAAACAACTGTCTGTAACATTTAATTTCAAAGTCCAGTAGTCTTCACGTGTTGGTGCTCAGGAGGATCCGTGTTTGTGACGCATAGGCCAGGGTAGAGAACAGGTAGTTCCGGGGCAGCCTGACTTCTGCGTCAGTTGTCCCTCCAAATCGGGGTTGAAACATGTTTGCTTCCCGGGCAGGTTGTCTTTGGAAAGCCTGGAATCTCCTAGCTGTGGACTTCTCAGGTTCGCACGGTGCCTCACTTTGAATACTTTAATGCTGAAACAAGTTCACGGTTGCCGTTACCGCTCCTGCCCAATGCGAGACCTCACTTGACAGAAGGGAATGCTTTGTAAGCAGCAGCCACAGTAAATTAACTCCTCTCGCTGCTAATGAAGCAGGTGAACACGTGCCCTGCACAACACTGCATTTGGTTTCTTTTAGACAAAGTGAAAAAAGCATCCGTTTTACAGGGAATGGCAAAATCCATTACATTAGACTCAGTCCAGTATTCGCAGCTGGGCAGTTCAGGCCCTGTACTTTTGTGGAGACAGTAATGTTTAACGCTGAGTTGGGATGCCAGTTCAGGATGTTTTGTTTTGTTTTGTACCAACACTTCCATTAGATATTTTTGAAATGGTTACATGGCACTGATTTTGACAGTGGCCTGAGCCCTGCCAGATCCGGCAGGCAGGATTTTCAGTGTGAGTGCTGTAAAGGTATGATAGTGATTGGTAACTGATTAATATATGTATATGTATAAATGAAGAAAAACTTTAAAATATAAGGGACAGCAGGCTAGCGGTAAACATAAGCAACAAGCCTGATGCACCTATTTCTGAATTTTTTAATGTTGCTGTCAAGCGTACAGCTATTTGATACACACGCCTGAGCTCGCTGCGAGGCAGGCAGGGAGAGCAGGCAGGGCAGGCAGAACTCGCGGAGTTGAAAGCTGGTCACGCATCAACAATTTCGCTTAAATGAGTTGTGCCAGATGCCAGAACGGCAGCACTGGAAGCGTAGTCAGGGCACAGGTGCAGCACAGCAAGTTTTCTCCGTGTCACCATGCCGATGTCCCATTGCTTGGGAGACATAGTATCTTTAATAATAAACCTGTAAAACAGCCGTAACACTGGTGCAGTTCTCAATAAAACTAATGTTTTGATTATTTCTTAATAGCACCAGATGGATCTTCCTTGGCAGAAGGAGCACGAGCACTTGACATGCAGAAGACGGCAGAAGAAGTGGTAGGAGAAGGGCCGATGGCAGGGGAGAGACGAGCCCTGGGGGAGGAAGACCTTGCTGTGGAGGGAGGAGATGCTGCCACCGAAGGGGCAGGAGTAGAAGTGGCACGGGCGGGAGATTTGCTGCCCAAGGAAGACACAGCGGCTGTGCTGCAGGCAGAGGGACAGCTTGCGGTGGAGGGATCCGCACCCGAGGAGAGCGCCATGGCAGAAGAAGATCCCAAAGGAAAGGGGACAGGGAAGGGAACAGAGCCGGGCGCAGAGGTGGCACCTGGGGAGCAGGAGGGGGTGATGGAGGGGATGGAGAGCGAGGCAGCACTGGGAGAGGAGCCGGCAGGGGCACGGCGAGGTGGAGAGGAGCATGGAGCAGTGTCCGAAGAGGCGGCTGGGGAGGTCCCTGAGGGAGAGGAGGCGGCTGGGGAGGTCTCTGGGGGAGAGGAGGCTGTGGAGCAGGCTTCCGAGGCGGAGGAGGCTGTGGGAGCCACGGGGCCGTCAGTGAAGGAGGAGGTGGGTGAGGCGGTGGCTGAGGGAGAGGAGGCCGTGGAGGACGGAGGTTTTGCAGGGAATGGCGTTGCGGCGAGTGCCGTGTCTGAGGGAGAGGAGGCTGTGGAGGACGCCCGCTTGGCAGAAGAAGGGGTTGCCAGGGTAGTTGGCCCTGGAGGAGGAGGAGAGCCTGTGGAGGAGGCCGTTTCTGAAGGAGAGGAGGCTGCGGGGAAGCCCAGGGCTCTCCTGGAAACATTAGGGAATACAACCGTTTGCACAGGAGAAGCAACGCCTGGAGGAGAAGACTTCGTAAAGCCAAATGAGTTTTCCCAGCTGCAGGCGTCAGGGGAAGGGGGGATGGAGCTGGGGAAAGCTGCCATAGGAGAAACAACTTCCGAGACTGGCACGGCACCAGAGGTAGAGGGGAGCTCTCTCCTGAGGGCCGGGGATGCGACGGGGGCGGCTGTGGAGCCTGGCACGGGTCCCCTGCCGCAAGTAGCCCCTGGGTTAGAGGCACTGGTGGATGCTGGAGGGGATCCCGTAAGTGAAGGGTCTTCTCAGTTGGAGACCACAGCAGCAGAGGAGGAGGAGGGCTCAGCAGAAGCGCTTTTGAGTGGAAACCCATCTCTAGTCAGCAAAGGAGAGACAGAGTGTGCAACGGAAGAAAAACCTGCTGGAGGGGTGATGGCGGTGTCTGCGGGGACAGGCAGAGCGGGGTCAGGAGGTGGAGAGGAGGTCGTGGGTGGAGCAGCAGGTCCGAGGGCACTGGCGGCGGGGATGGAGGGGCTGCTGGCGTGGGCTAAAGAGAGGGGGAAGGAGAGGGCTCCTGGTGATGCCCGGGATGAAGCAGCGCTGCCTGCCCCGGTGCTGTGTGTGTGCCGGCCCGGCGAGGCAGGAGTGGTGGCCATTGCGGTGGTGGGTGGCCACGCCGGACCAGGGGCTGTTGCTGAGGGAGTGGCAGGGGATGTGGTGGTGGCTGGGGATGGTGGGGCGTCCCCACGGCGTGGAGAACCATGTGGAGCGATGTCCCTCGGGGAGCAGCCGATTGCAACCCCCCCCCTGAGCACCCCTGCGCAGGGGGACGGGGCAGCGGAGCCCAGCGGGAGCGGGTCCCCGGGGGGCGAGGGGCTGGGCCCGCGCACACAGCC